TTTGGTAATGATAGTATTTTGGGGGAAAATTACTCCTTAAAACGTAAATCCATCGGGTCTTGGTAGAAGACTTCTTTTATTTAGAAAATATGGGATTTTCTGCAAAGGACGCTAATACATCGTAGATTCTAAAATACTATCTTTCATAAAGTTATTTTGAATAAAAATGTGTATTTATACAAATGACACTAAATACTTATGAACTCACCAGCATTATAAAAATGCTGATACTTGCTTTCAAAATAACTTGTATTCTCAGGTCATCGATAGACGGGTACATCCCGGAAGCATTTGCAGAGACATCCTAGTACTGAGCTGCATCCATAGTATTTCTTGTATTATTTTGATGTTTCTATGAAATATAACCTATGTAAAACTATTACTATTAATGCAATGGTTGTTGTACTTTGATTACTATACTGCATATGTTGTGATACTTGACATGACGTCATCCACCCCAGAATGTTTTTGTCGTTCCTATTTATGAAAAAGCATCAATAGATAAAATAGATAACAGAGGAAAATATTGTATACTACATTCAGTTTTACAATAAAAAATCTATGAAATAAGAAGGAATCATTAAAAAGAAACCCAGGGGAACACTATAAGTAAAAAGGCCATTACCAACGACAAAAGTCGTCGGTAAAGGTCCCAAAAAGTCGCTGGTAATACTAATAGTGACGCCTCGTTGCCGGTAATGAGTCGTCGCTACTGCTTCGTCGCTATTGGTCACTATGTCGCCGCTAATGATAAAAGTCGCCGCTATTGACTGTGTCGCTGCTATTGACTCTGTCGCCGCTAATAAGTTTGTTGCCGGTAATAACACTTGTCGTCGGTAATAACAATATTCGATTAAATATCAAAAATAATAGTGTCAACGCTAATTACAAATTAATTGTATACAAACATCCGATTAAGTATCAAACATAATAGTGTCAATGTAAATTACAAAAAAACATTCGTTTACAATTAAATATCAAAAGTCATAATATCCAAGTAGCAAAACAACCAAATTTTTACAATCTATCAAGTTGCAAAGCATGACAACATATGCAAATAAAACGCATCCTTACAAACCACCATCTTCGTTCCCATCGTTTCCTTGATTATTGTGGAATTGAAAAAAAAAAAAAAGAATAAAGCTCATCCCTACATGCCGGGTCGCTGAGCGTTGCACGAAGATTTTCCAACTACAATATATATATATATATATATATACATATATATATATATATATATATATATATATATATATATATATATATTTGTATAAACTTATAAGTTAGATTGTCAAACATAAACAAAAACTATCAAAATACATTGTTATTTTTAAATTAAGATAGAAAACCAAAATACATTGCTATTTCTTGCACTTGGGAGAAAAACCAAATTACCAAACTTTTTAGCAAATAATCACCACAAAACCAAAGTTACCAATTTAACATGAATTTTACGATGCTAAAGTAGATTGCTATCTTTAAACTAAGATAGAAAACCAAAGTACATTGCTATTTCTTGCACTTAGGACAAAAACCAAATTACCAAACTTTTTAGCAAATAATCACCACAAAAGCAAAATTACCAATTCAACATGCATTTTACGATGCTAAAGTAGATTGCTATCTTTAAACTAAGATAGAATACCAAAGTACATTGCTATTTCTTGCACTTGGGACAAAAACCAAATTACCAAACTTTTTAGCAAATAATCACCACAAAACCAAAATTACCAATTCAACATGCATTGTACGATGTTAAAGTAGATTGTTGTTTTTAAACTAAGATAGAAAACCAAAGTACATTGCTATTTCTTGCACTTGGGACAAAAACCAATGTAGATTGTTTTACTTCTGATGGTTGCGAAGGTTGTGGATTCGGCGGGAGAGCAGAAGGTTTACGGCCAATGCCTCTAATATGGCCACGTCGCTCTCCTAATACTTTCTCGAATGCAGCTCTTTCTTGAGCGGGTGTTAACTCACTTTCACCTTGAGTTTGTTCTAACAGCTCTTCAACTAACCGATTCTATAACGCCAAAAGTGAGTAATAATTAAGTATAAATAAACATTTAATTATATGATAAAATTATAATTAAATACTTATGTATTGTTGTTCCGCCTCTGCAGTAACAAATACATCATTCTTATCAGTATGAGCTTTGCGAAACGTTTCCACTCTCTTAAGGTTATGTGTAACTTTAAATATTAGATTATATTTTAAAAAAATAATTACATGTATCGTACGATACCTTCTTATAGCAAGTACTGCTATACGAGCTTGAACCCCCATGATTCATACTTTTTTGCATTTCATGGACTTTTTTGTTCCTTTCTGATGCGATTCGTGTTCGTCCGTTTGAAAATACTCAACTACCTTCGGCCAGTTATCAATTAGCATACCCTCCGGAGGATTGGCTAAGTTAATTTGACGATTTTAAGTTAATATGAAACTATAGAAATATAAATATGTTATAAATATGAAACTATAGAAATATATATATATATATATATATATATATATATAATATATATATATATATATATATATTATTTATAACATTATATAAATATGTTGTTCTTTCTAGTATTTGTAATTTACCGTCGAGATTAAAAAATATATATATTTGTAACATATTATGTTGTGTTGTTGTTTCTAGTATTAATTTGTAATTTACCATCGAGTTTATAAAATATATATATTTTTGGTCTTAGAGTGTTGATTTATATTTGTCAATTATAATAATCTTATTTTGTAAAGCTTATACTAATATTATTTTGCAATTTATTATTCTCTTTTTTTTTTTCTAGTTATAAAATTAATAATAATAATAAATATGACTTAAAAGTATTTAAAAAATGGATAATCGTTCAAAGTTCAAACCCTCCAAAAAAATATCCAATACACACATGAATATGTGTATAGTACCCTAACAATTTTATAACATTTTTTTTTTGCAATTATAGCAATAATTTTTTTTTATTTTTTTTTTTCAATTATACATAAGAACATGAAATTCACATACTTTTATATATACCACATATACACAAAATACTAATACATTCACATACACACAAAATAGCATCATACTTAAACCAAATACACATAATTTCACATATATAGATAATAACATCCTAATTATACCAAATACAAAAATTTCACAATCATATACCACATTTACAACAAACATACATACATTCACATACACACAATAACATCATACTTATAACAAATACATATAATTTCACATATATTTAGATAATAACATCATATATATATATATATATATATATATATATATATATATATATATATATATATATATATATATATATATATTTCTACCAAATACTCATATACCACATACATCAAATATCAAATATACACACAATTTACACATACAAATATCAAATATACACACAATTTTCACATATGGTAATTTTCACATAATTTTCACATACAAATATCAAATTCACAAAAAAAAATGAAATAATAGAACCTGTAGTGGCAGAAATCAACCGATAATAACTGAAAATTTTGTTATTCACCCAATGAAACTACAAATCCAAAACCTAGGAGCCATCCAAAATGTCACAAATCACTTCAACAATATTTGCAAAGATAACATACAAATTAAATTACCAAAACTTGGAAATTTAATCAACACTTTTTCAGTGTTAACAAACAAATTAACAAGAAAATTATCAAAGAAAATTTCAAATCAAATTACCTTAATTTCTTCAAGAACTCCACTTAGAAATTGGTCCCAAATCACACATTAATCCCTAACACACTAAATATGGCACAAGTTATGGAGAAATCAAACTGGAAGAAGAAATTTGAGAAAGAACTCGGTAGAAGATGTAAAGGCGATGGAGAAGAGGGCAGCAAACAGAAAGCAAATGAGAAGAATAAAGTTCTACGTGTGTTTTTTTTATTTGCGTCAGCCTTAAGCGCGACGCCTTTAGCGGCGACACTTATATTATTACCGGCGACTATTATCGATAGCGGCGACAATCTGGAAGGAAGGGTACCTGGTCATTTTTTAGTGTATTATTAGCGGCGAGAATTTGAAGCTTTAGTGGCGATACATATGTCGTTGATATTAGGTTAGTTCGGATAAGGGACCCTAACCGTTGGATTGAATATTTGATCAAACGGTGTAGATGTAGAAGGGGAAGACGCGGATTCGTAGAAGGGGAAGACGCGGATTCAGGTGATCACCCTTTAGCGGCGACGTTATTACCGGCGACAGGGGATTTTAGCGGCAACGCTCTCTAAAGTCGCCGCTAGTTGCCGCTAAAGGCCCGTGTCACCGGTAATAGCGTCGCCGCTAAAAAGTGATTTTCTTGTGGTGGAAGGAGGAAAGTAATAAAAAAAAAAGTTACACTTGATATATTTATTTAATGTATCTTTTTAAATTTTTATTCAATGATGTATTTTTTATTTAATATTGGTTTTATTAAATAAAAAAAAATAATAAGAATGGTGGAATGATCGAGTATTTTTATAAGTTATGAAACCGTATGGTTTGAAGCTGATATCACAATATTTTATTTTTGGTGTGGTGGCCATGGAAATAACTATAACCAATATTGTAAACAAGACTTATCGACACGAAATATGTCGACGAACCAAATCTTGTCGACACGGCCTGACTTCACAAGTTGACCCTTATGACTTATCTGTAATCTATAATCATTCATATAATATAATATATGTAGGTTTAAAATCCATCCGTTTTCTGAATTTATTACAAAACACGTGTCCGTCTTCTGATGGAACAGCTTTTTAAGTGGGTTTAGTATAATGCTGACAACATGTGGCTCTCTCATATACCATGCATCTTCATTTCACCGCGTATATCACCTTTTCATCGTCTCACTTTACTCTATATAAACCCCCCCAAATGTCATAATATAAAACACAAGAAAATCACAAACGAAACAAGTGTTAATTTCTACGTTTTCAAGCTTCTTCTATAACTTATCGAGTGAAAAGAAATATGGCACAATACGGAGGAGATCATAAAGACGGAAGAGAAGGTCGGCAAACAGATGAGTACGGAAACCCACTTCACTCTAGCACCCCTTTTACGGGTACGGGAATGGGCATTGGCACCGAGACTGGGACAGGCTACGATCAACATAAAGAAGAAGGCCAAGAAAAGAAAGGGGTGATAGAGAAGATCAAAGAAAAGTTTCCCGGTGGTCACAACACGGACGAGCATCAAAGGGTGTCCTCAACGACAGGCGGCGTTAGTGGCGGTGGTTATGGGGAAGGAGGGGAAACCCACGAAAAGAAAGGGCTGATGGAGAAGATCAAGGAAAAGCTTCCCGGTGGTCACAACAATGATGAGCATCAAAGGGTGTCCACAACGACAGGCGGCGTTGGTGACAATTATTTGGAAGGAGGGGAAACCCATGAGAAGAAAGGGGTGACAGAGAAGATCAAAGAAAAGCTTCCTGGTGGTTACAGTACTGACGAGCATCAAAGAGTGTCCACATCAACGATATACGGCGTTGGTGGTGGTGGTAATACATATGGGGAAGGAGGGGAAACCCACGAGAACAAAGACATGATGGAGAAGATCAAAGAAAAGCTTCCCGGTGTTCACAACACGGATGAGCATCAAAGGGTGCCCACAACAACGGTAAGTAGCATTGATAGCGGTTATGTGGAAGGAGGGGAAACCCACGAGAAGAAAGGGGTTATGGAGAAGATCAAAGATAAGCTTCCTGGTGGTAACATCTCTGAGCATCAAACAGTGTCCTCAACAACGACAAGAGGCGTTGGTGGTGGTGGTTATGGGGAAGGAGAGGAAACCTACGAGAAGAAAGGGGTGATGGAGAAGATCAAAGAAAAGCTTCCTGGTGGTTACAGAACTGACGAGCATCAAAGAGTGTCCACATCAACGATATACGGCGTTGGTGGTGGTGGTAATACATATGGGGAAGGAGGGGAAACCCACGAGAACAAAGGCATGATGGAGAAGATCAAAGAAAAGCTTCCCGGTGATCACAACACGGATGAGCATCAAAGGGTGCCCACAACAACGGTAAGTAGCATTGATAGCGGTTATGTGGAAGGAGGGGAAACCCACGAGAAGAAAAGGGTTATGGAGAAGATCAAAGATAAGCTTCCTGGTGGTAACATCTCTGAGCATCAAACAGTGTCCTCAACAACGACAAGAGGCGTTGGTGGTGGTGGTTATGGGGAAGGAGGGGAAACCTACGAGAAGAAAGGGGTGATGGAGAAGATCAAAGAAAAGCTTCCCGGTGGTGACAACACGGACGAGCATGAAAGGGTGTCAACAACAACATCTGGCAGCATTGGTGGTGGTGGTTATGGGGAAGGAGGAGAAACCCATGAGAAGAAAGGGTTGATGGAGAAAATCAAAGAGAAGCTTCCTGGACATCATTAGATCCTACGGTATATTTGTGAGGATGCATATGTGTATACAAAATAATAATTTGGTATTGATGTCGTTTGTCATGTATGTTATGGATGGGTCACAAGCCATGTGGGATTGAGTCTTGTAATGTGTGTTTTTTCGTATGGAATTTGATTTACTTTTATTTTTTTTATTGAATATACTTTGGTTTTCTAGAGTTATAATTAACATTAGTACAAAGTCGTATTTAACACTACGACGAGTTTTATTTAAATTGGTGTCATTATAGCCATAAACTGGATTATTAAACCGTCGAAAACTCTTTTCGCATCAATAAGCCAAGGAACCACACAATTTAAAGAATTTGTTGATGTGGTTTTCATAAACGTGCATTAAGAACCACACCATTTATAGAATTTGTTGGTAGAGTTTCCATATGATTATATTAAAATTGCATTTATTATTGTGCTTGTCCAAGATCGCACCATTAAGCATTGTTACTTGGTGTGAAGGTTTATAAATCACACCATTATAACATCATTTTTGAATGTAATTTCCGTATAACGACATTAAAATTACATCTATTGGTGCATTTGTCTAAAATGCACCATTAAATATTGTTAGTGTTAAGTTATATAAATCGCTCCATTAAAACACAATTTTTTATGAATCTCACAATTAAAACTTGGTTTAAATGTTTAGGGTTTTCAACATATTTTCAAAATCACTCGTTTTATTCAATACGCACAAATTTGTCAAAATTTCTTCATTAAACCAACTGTAACGCCCCTGTTTCTAGGTTAAACACTAATTTAATGGTTTAATAGTTAGGGTCAACACTTATAACCTACTTTGAAATAATAAATAGGAATTATTCGAATATTATATGATTTTATGTGCCTTGTACTTAATTATAAGATATAATAAGTTAAGAATAAAAATAAGCATCAAAAATAAAATAATAAATAGGTCCAATATCTATGAAGAAAGTTGTAGTGGTCGGGACAAGGATTCCGGAGATATAAAGAACGCCGAAATCCGAGTTATAACGAAGAAGATATGACCTGTCGAAGTTTCGCGTCAAAACCGGCACGACACTGGGAAACGTAAAATTTAGTTTATGATAAACTACTTTTTATCCTTAGGAGTCTAAATGAAAGTTGTAAAGTACGTCTCCACCTACGCGTGGATATAAAGAACGTCAAAAACGAAGTTCATATGCAAAAGTTATGGCGTTCCGAAGATTTAGCTTTTAAAAACCCTAAACTAGCTAATTCACGACTTATGATGCTCACGACATTCTATCATAATTTGTAATCTAGAAGCTGCGATAGGATAAGATCCAATTCACGACGTGAGCTTTATGACACTCACGACGTGAGGTGTCATGTCCACCATCCGAAGCTAGGGACGCAAATGGCAAGTCTACGAAGTGAATTATGAGACTCACGACGTGAGTCTTATGACACTCACGACGTGAGTGTCATAAGAACTTACTATAAATAACAAGATCGACCTATTCACTTCCTTACACCATTCCCTTTCTCCTCTCTCATTTGCTGAAGCTCTTATTGCATCCCGAGCCCCGACGACCTCGTACGCTGACCGTTTCTACCTAGATTACATAAAATCACGCTACTAAGATGAGTGCATAGTTACTTTCATCTTACACATAGATATGAAGTATTTTATATATTACGTGATATGTGTGCATATTTTCTGTATACTTGCTATCTATGTTGGATGAATGTTTTTATACAAGTCTTAAATGATTTAAACTGTATATGTATTTTATATCTACAAAAATGTTGGGGTAAAATATGGGTAGATGTAATAAGACGATGTGTGATAAAATGATGAGAGACGTCGATGTTGTCGTTGTTGATCCAGTCATCTAGCGGAGTATAGATGATGACCACAGACTCTTCTAGACAATCCAGTGGAACGCTGGCAGGCTCGCAATCTGTAGGTGTTGTGAACGATGTGTTCACCGATCTACTCCATCCCCCACATGGTTGCTTTTAGGACATTTATTGCTAAGCAACCCCCTTAGCAGTAATGTCCATCCCGATGATAATCCTTAGGCTAGATCCCTTACAATAGGTGTTTTAGGGACGTAAAGTGAGGATAACGGGAATGGGTAATCGGGTTATTATTGGTTAATGAAATTAATAAACTAATTTATTGCGGGTTGAAAACCTTATGTGTTCACCATGCTCCCAAACCTGACCCACTCAGTTTTCTTATATACAGGTAGTGGAAAGAGAGCACAGGAGTGATGATCTGATGAGAGATCAATGGATTATAGGCTACTAGAATAAATAGATATTATAATGCCTATGTTGTTTATGTTTATTCTTTTGATCTGTATTAACAATGATATCCCAAGGTTTTTAATATAATACATTTCTACGAAAATGCTTTGATAAATTCTTTTTTTATATTTTTTGGGAACAAATTCCGCATTATATTTCTTTAAAAATATACTTTGATTTTCAATTAAAGCATAAACAAATCGGTCTTTTCTGGCCGTGAATTCAAGGATGTTACAGTTGGTATCAGAGCACTAGTTTAAGCGAACTAGGAAATTGTAGGATTTCTAGACTTAAACTTAGAATGCTAAGTGATGATTGTGAGATGAGTGCATGCTATATTTTAGACACAAGCACTAGTTTATTCTAGGAAAGATGCCTAAAATGCTTTTATGTGCTAAATGCTTTGTGTTATAGCTATAACTATAAAGATGCCTTATATGCTATTATTTGTTCGAATCTATGGTCTGTTGTTGACCGAATCTAGAAACTTTATGTGTTTAGGATTCTAAACGTTTGACTACGATATTAGAACTAGCATGTAAACATTTTGGAGTAATAAGGAGGATTTAATATGTCTATCGTAGATAAAGTTTTCCTATCTTAATTCTCATCACTACACATTGAACGTCTGATTTGGTGTATAGACCATCATGGCAAGAACCCGAAGTGGAGTCAAAAATGCCAATGTAAATGACAATCAATAGCCTCAACTTCCAGTGATACAATAAATACATGTTGTTGAAGAAGTGGCACATGAGCCAATGACGATGGCCGGAGTGCAAGCGATGATCCAGATGATGTTAGAACGCCAAATTGAGGAAACAAGGCGTTTACTTCAACAGAACTGAGAAAAACTTACAGTACCAATTGAACAGCGTGAGCTGAACGATGGGCAATCAGAAGGAGGAAACTACAGTGTGACTGTTGGTCAAGACAACCCACCGATAGTTAGGCAAAACCACCAGGAGGGAGGAAATGATGGACGCGGATGCAAATACAAGGATTTCATGGCATCCAAACCACCGAGTCTATCTGGAAGCTTGATGCCGGTGGAAGTCATGAACTGGATCTCTGAGATGGAGATGATGTTTGAGAGTTACGAGTGTAGCAATAGGCAGAAGACCGCCCTCGTGGTTCCTCTGTTGAAATCTGGAGTACTAAGTTGGTGGAAACTACCTACTGATTCAATGCCCAAAGGTGAAGCAAGAAAGATGTCGTGGGAGGAATTTCTGGTGTAGTTGAAGATGCAATACTGCTCTGAGCAGGATCTTCTGGAAATCAACAACGAGTTCTAGAATTTGAAGACGGGAAAAATGAGCGTTACAAAATACGCTTCAAGCTTTACGGAAAAGATGAAGCTTGTTCCTCACCTCGTCCCAACTGAACTCTCCAAGGTTAACAAATTTTCCCTCGGATTACCAGCGGACTTTGGTCCAATGGTCAAGCAAAATACCACTCTGAAAGCCACCATCTGGGCTGCTAAGAATGTGGAGACTTAAATACGAGAGAAGGGTCTGGAGAGAGCGGAGGTGGGAGAGAAAAGGAAATTTGACGGATCCTTGAGTTCCGGTAAGAAGAGTAAATTCTTGAAGTCTAGTTCGAAAGGAGGAGGAGCCGAAGCAAAATGGTGCGACAAATGCAAGAAGAAGCACCAAGGGAAATGTGACAGAGGAGTCACTTGTTTCAAATGTGGAAAGCCTGGGCGCTATGCCAACGAATGCACGTTCACTAAAAAGGTTTGTTATGAGTGCAACGACGAGGGGCACATATCGAGGGACTGCCCGAAGAAGAAGGAGACAGGAAGACCCAACATACCACCGAAGCCGAAGGCAAGAGCCTTCCAGATGACGCTCGAGGCTGCGAAAGAGGCAGCAGACGTCGCTTCAGGTACCTTTCTTGTAAATGGTTTGCCTGCAAATATACTATTTGATTCCGGAGCCAACTACTCCTTTGTGTCGCATAAATTTGGTGGGAAATTAGCATTACCTGTAGAAACACTTGATAATACCCTAATTATAGAAGTTGCTAGTGGCAAGTTCGTACCTGTTTGTGATCGTATTCGGAATATCCTCGTCAACTTAAACGGAAACGAATTCTACGAGGAGCTATTTGTTGGATTAATGTCTAAGTCCATAACTATAATTGGTAAGACTTGACCCGACCCGACATGGTCCATTTGGGTTGCATGGCGTCATGCACTTGGATAGACTATAATGAGAGAAATAAGACACTTATGGTTATTAATATATTATAAGTTCTAGTATATTAATAATAAGAATAATGAGATTATTTAATTAGTATTGATCAAGAATTAATCTAGAATTAATTAAGTGATCAAAAGAAGACTAATTAAATATATGGGTTGATTGTGTAAATCATTCATTCTTATATATGTGGGCTTGTGATCCAAGATTCCTTATGTTGGACTAAGTCCATGGGGTGACCCATGGATACTCCATGGAGGTTAAAACCCATGGAGCATAAGGAATGGGTAAAGTCATGAGTTACATGGTGTAACCCTAATAGCCACCATATAAAAGAAACCCATGGCTCAAGAAATCGTGACTATGACTAATGTATGTATGAGGGCTAGACGATTTCATGAAGTGTTCTAATTTCTCTCTAAGTTATTCCAAGTGCTTATGGTGTTGTGTGAACCATTTGAGGTGTCACACTTGGGGCACTAAGCACTCAAGCTTCATGAAGACAAGCACT